AAAAAGTTTCTTGGACTGAGGCTGGCAGGTGGCATGGTGGTTAAAGGCAGTGGACTCCCACATGGCCAACCGCAGTTCATGTCCCGGACCTGGTGGCTTGCTTTCTCACTTTCTCTGATCACTCTGGAAAATAATAATGATAACAACAATAATTAAAGTTTCATAAAATAATTACTTAAAATAAAAAGACACTGGACTCCCACATGGCGACTGTGGTTCAAGCCTCCCTACTCTGTCCCACTCTATTTATTAAAATAAATAAGTAAACAAAGTTAAAGTAATTCTTTTAAAAAAGCAATAATAATAAAGTTAAATAAAATAATTCTTCGAAAAAAGTTTCTTGAACTAAATGTTTTGTATCCTTTCAAAACAGTACTCTCTGCTATTTAGGAAATGAAATAAAAGGGTTTTTAACAGAAGATGGGAAGTAAACGCCAATAGGATCACCTTTTTTTTTTTTCTGGAGAGGTTTATTTTGCTATAGGGTGGGTGCTCTCGCCAGACAGACAGAGACAGACAGAGACAGAAAGCGAGAGATCACCCCCCAGGGGGGATGGCCACGCCACAATCCCTTCTCCTCTATTCTCCTCTCGGGATCTTGGGCACACATGCACACGTACCAGACGTGAGTTTTAAGCCACTGGGTCCGGAACACGAACCGCGGTCGACTACGTGGGAGTCCAGCGACATAGCCATTACGCTAACTGCTGGTCCCCAGGATCACCTATTTTTTTAAAAAAGGGTTTATTTAACTTTATTTATTTACTTACTTATTTTTTAATTTGACCAGAGAGGGACAGAGAGAAGGACAAAAGGAGAAAATGAGAAAGTAAGTTGCCAGGTCTGGGACTGGCAGTCAGCCAAGTGGAAGTCCAGCGGCCCTAACTACCACGCCACCTGCCGGCCCCATGATCACTTATTAGGAGGGAGAGAATGAGAGAAAGCAGGAAGCCTCAGCTGTATCTGACCCATTTAATTTATTCAGACTATATATATATTTTTTTGAGAGAGATTTTTGTTATAGGGTATTTGAACTCACCAGAGAGACAGAGAGACAGAAAGTAAATCACCCCCTGGGGGGATGACCACACTACAATTCCTTCTCCTCCATTTTCCTCTCGGAATCTTGGATACACACACACACGTGCCCAGAGTTTGAAGCCATCAGGTCCAGGACTCAAACTGCAGTCGAATGCATGGGAGTCCAGTGATTATAACCAGTATGCCATCTGTTGGTCCCTATTCAGAATATTTTTTAAGAAGTGGTAGCCAGAGAGCAGTACTGCAGTAAAAAGCAAGCTCTGCAAAGCAGACCCAAATGGAAAGGTTACAGATTTGCATCCAGAGACTTTCCTGGGTATGCCAGGCTAGTGTGTGCCCATGATCCAGGCTGGCTGAGGCTGTGGTAGACTGCAGCGTCAAGACCCCGTTGGAGGAGCTGCATCTCTGCCTCTCACTTTCATGAAACAAATTTTTAAATAAAAGGCCCAGGGGTGGCTTAGGCCACATGGAAGACCCAGGTTCTGTTCTCCACCCAACCTCGAACAGGCCAGATGCAGGACACACATCTGTGGTCCTAGCGAATTGGTAGACCAAGGCATAGAATTGTGACATAGTGAGATTCTGCCAAAAAAAAAAAAGAAAAAAAAAAAACCCACCCCCCTCGGCCTCCCCTGCTCCCCATGCTCTTTGTCTCTCTCATTAGGAAAAAAAGACACAGAAATGACAGAGAGAATGGAACACAGTAGGATAGAAACTCTGATACCAAAGAATCCAACATTTCTTTACATTTTGCAAACTCTCAGAACTACAGACAACTTCCTCAGCTCGGTGGCCACAGCACTGAACGTTGTGGGTGGTGGAGGGTCGGACCTGGTGGGCAGTGCCAGCTTAGAAGGCTGGGGTGGGACACCCCAAGAGTAATCAGGTGGCACCAGCAGGAGCCTGGCAGAATCAGATGTAGGAGAGGTGTGAGAAATCACAGCTTCCCCTGCCTGTATGGGGTGTAGGACAGGTGTGAGAAATCACAGCTTCCCCTGCCTGTATGGGGTGTGCAGGGACTAAGAGAGAGGCCACGTGACCCTGCTTTTACAACCTGAGAGCAACCTCTCGGCCCTCCTGTGAAGGGGAGGAGGGGATGTTTGACTGTGAGGACAGCAAAGTGCAAGTAGCTCAGGCACAGAGGTCACACTGCATTTGTGACTAAGCCGCAATTTCCTCACCTATAAAACGGACGATCCGACCACCCCTAGGACTGGTGAGGATCGGACAAGACAAAGCAGGTGTGTGATTGTGTTTCAAAATAAGTCCTCTCTGAACAGTGGCTCTCAGTTACTACTACCTGCTAAGCCCCGTGGCAGGGTTCCAGGTCTCTCGCTATCTCTGGGCAGCTCTCAGGAGTGTTTGATTCTCAATAGCTTCCTTCGCCTACAATCACTGTGACCCACAATGGCAATTACCTGTGCTCCTTCCTTTTTAAAACTTTTTCCCCTCATTTTTATTAGAGGGTGTGTGTGCTCACCAGAGAAAAATAGAGGTAGAGAGAAGGAGAGGGAGAAAGAACCCCCAGTGGGCATAGTCATGCCACAATCAAATCTCCACTTCTCCATCCTGTCAGAATTTCAGACATGCACTCTCACGCACCTGGTTTTTCAAGCCACTAGGGTTGGGATTCAAACTGCACAGTCAACATGTGGGGACTGGCTCCCCTAATCACCAGGCAATGGGGATGGCCATACCTGTGCCCCTTTCGACGAGTGCCATGTAGTAGAGATTGGTGTCCCCAGCCAGTCCCGCCTCCACGACATCTTTGGTGAAATGTAGCTCCTGAAACAGGCACCACGACAAGGAGTGAACTGCCAGCTCCTTCGGTCAAATCCCCTGCCCTTCAGAAAGGGGACAGAAGGGTGACCTGTCCCTCCACTTACCATGTAATCCTCATGGGCAATTGTCACCCACTTGACCAGGCGAGAGACGACCTTGGCTGGGAAGAGGTACTGGCAATCGCAGGTAACAGGCACAATGCCATGTTCTATAAGAGAACGGACAGGTGGGGTCAAGGTAGAAATCAGCGCTGCCGTAGGGTACGACCCCCCCTCCTGGGGCTCTCTGAAGGGCTCAGATGGCCCTGCCAGCTGCCACTCAAGAGGTACCAGGTCAACATGTTCCAGGAACGCAGGTCAGCCAAGCTGACCTTCAGTGGTGCTGTGTGCTACACCAGACCCAGCACCAGCACTCACAGTGCTTGATCTTTTATGCAAATGACGGCCTGCAAAACAAAACCCCCTGAAGCCAGATTCAGCGCTGGTGCCTCCGCAGCAGACTGTTAATTAGATCAAATAGCCGAGAGAGCTGTTTCCAGAACTGACCTTGACCGATGAAATGACTGGCGTGTTCCGTGTCAGCTCTGCTAAGGGAAAAGAGCTGGAGAACTGCTCCAGGGTAAATTCCTGTTGGCATTTCAATAAGCAAATATGCCAACACAGTAAAGGCTGTTTGTGATGACAATCATCCAACCTTGGGACAAAACAAACTCAGCAACACTGATGGGGAGAAAGGACTCATCAAAAAACAACACTGCCCTGGAGAGAGTGGGGTCTTCTTGGAGCCAAAGAACTGGTCTGGAGGGTGGGAGCTCTAGATGGGCTGTTGAAACCCATCCCTTTCCCGACAGTGACTCTTAGATGAGAAAGATTTCGACCACCTCTGTCACCCACCACACTACCTCTGCAAGTGCCTTGTGCAAGGTAAGCACCTGACAAATATGTACTGAATGAATGAACTAAATAAGCTAAAAAAAAGCCCCATGGGCCACAGCCTGGGTCAGTGGCTTCTTAGAATCACACAGGAGCTTAGCAGGAAACAGTGTGGGGCCCAGCCTCAGCCTGGGGACACAGCTCTGTCGGTCCTGGGGGTGGGGATACGGGAGGATCCTGGGAGAGCTATATTCACATGAGCTGCTGTGAGCCTCACCAAGGTAGGGCTCTGTTGCTGTGTTCGCTGTTCTCCCCAGCACGGTGCTAGGAGCCCAACAGAAATGAGGCTCTCCTTAAGTACCGGTTGGATACATACCAAAGCCTGAGATGCACTGCCCTATGTGAGCTCCTCCTGACCAGTCCACAAACCTGTGTCACCCAAAAGCTCTGGATTTCCCTGCGAGGATTCGGACAGCTCTGATGGCTCTGAGGGGAGTCAGACCTTTGCCTATAGCCCTGTCAGGGCCAACACCTTTGCTCAGGAAAGTCAAAGACCTAGGCCTCTGATCTGTTGTTCAGACTCAAGAGTTCCAAGTGAAAGGCTGTAGTTATCTGAGTGGCTCCTGAGCCCCAGGCCCAGAATCGGCTTACCAAGGGATGCAAACTGCTTATGGAGGGCCAGGCGGGACTGCACCCTGGTCTTCAGCAGTTTCATGGTGGTCTCCATGTGGCTGGAGCTCAGCGAGTGGTCAGCAATCACTGTGTGCTGTGGATGACAGTGAGAGACACACACCTGAGAGCCCCTACCTTTCTACACATGCTGCCCGTGTCCTGAGACCTGCCAGCCTGTGGCATCCAAGACCAACCAGCCACCACAGCAGGTGTGTTAGGAAGAGCAGAGTTTACATGCTGATAGGCCAGATACTGAGTCCCAGCAAGAATGACACAAGTTGCTAGATTCTCAGGGGTGTGGCCAATGCCTGAGAAAGGCAGGCTTCTGCCAAGGGGGCAGGCCTAGAAGGCTACTGGGACAGGAAGGAGCCAAAAGGTGCCTCGACACTTGTAGGCCCTGGACATGTTAGTGTCCTCTGTGGCTGGAGGACAGACCCAGTCCTTAGGCAAGCATTCTGCAAGTTCAAAGCCCCAAAAAGTCATCAGAGGCCTTTTTGGAGTATACACAGGAGAAAAAGAGGTTGAGCTGCACAGCTAAGAAAACCAGTTCAGTGATCACACCTGAGGCTGCTCTTTGGGGAAGTGAAGGCCACCCAGTTTCTGCACCCACAAGTAGGGGTGACCTAGGTCAAGGACGTAGTCTCTCAAAGTCAGGATGCTGCAGAAAAGATAGAATACAATGATTAATGTCATTTTTGCTCTGGTCTCAGGATACGGCCTGCTCTCATCCTCCCATCCTCCCATGCCCACGAACGGGCCAGTTCCGTGGGCTCAGCTATAATCACAGGCAGGCTGCCAGCTCTGTCAGTTCCTTACTACAAACTTCACCTCGTCCACATTCACCTTCCTCTTTTCCCCTTACTGTCTCAGCTCATAAGCAGATCTCAAGTAAAAAGACAATGTACTGATCAGTCTACCGATTTGTAAAATCTCTTAAAACATTTAATTCTCAAGAGAATTAGAATGTTAAACATGGTTACTGCATTACATGTTCTTATTGTGTACTCCAAGTTTTGAGCCTTCCACTTTTCCACCTTCCATAACCTGCTTTTGCACTGGAGGCAAGAAAGGGCAGGAGCATCCCTGTATCCCATGGTCCCTCTGTCATTTGGGTGGCCTCTGGTCCTAAGAGGTTTGAGCCACCAGAGAAACTCAGAGAGGCAGGGAGAGGAGGAAATGCTGCTGACTCACCCCACTTTATCAAACTGGTACTGATTGGCTGGATTCGGAGTTTTCTTTCCATGATCCCCAGGATACAAACAACTCAGGACTGAGTCAGGAGACAGCAAGTCACTGGGAAAGGGAGAAGACAGTGCAGTGAGAAGAACGTAGCCACTGGCTGGCCTCACGGCAGATGGGCATTTGGGTATGGAATGCCACCTTTCGTTCGTGACCGAGGCCACCATTTATTGAACGCTTTCTTTAGGTCATATCCTTTATACGCTAGAGGTTACTGAATCTTCATAAGACCATGAGGTGCGATCACCCTTTCCTTTTTTTTGAGAGATTTTTGCTATAGGGAGTGCATGCTTATTGGAGAAACAGAGAGAGACAGAATGCGAGAAATCATACCCTGGGAGTTTGGCCACTCTGTAACCCCTTTTCCATTCTTTTACTGGGATTTTGCACATGCACGCATATGAAGCCAGCAAGAATTTCAAGTCACTGGGTCAGGGGACCTAACCCTGGTTGACCACATGGGAGTCCAGTGCCTTAACCACTGTGCCACCTGCTGGCCCAACCTTTTTTTAAATTATTTTTCTTTTCTTTTTTTCCACCTGAGTTTGCTAGAGGAAGACAGAAGACAGAGGGAGGGAGAGGGGGAGAGGGAGAAGGAGAGAGGGAGAGAGAGGGAGAGAGAGAGAGAGTGAGAGAGAGAGAGAGCCACCAGGTCCTGGACTTGAACCACAGTCAGCCATGTGGGAATTCCAGTGCCTCAACCATCATTCTACCTGCTGGCCCCTGTATTTTTTTGTTTTTAATTGCCAGAGGGCATGAGCATTCAACAGAGACAGAAAGAGAAGGAGAAGGGGAAAGAATCCTCTAATGGGGGTGGTTCACACTGCAATCTCCTCTCCATTTCTCCAACCTATCAGGGTTTAGGCACACACACATGTGCCTGGCATTTTTGTTTGTTTTTGTTATAGGGCTTAAATTCACCACAGAGAGAGACACAAAAAGAGAAAGTAAGAAATCACCGCCCAGGGAGGATGGCCACATCAGTCCCTTCTCCATCCTGCCCTTGGGATTTTGGGCACACAGGCACATGTGCCTAGTGTGAGTTTTCAAGCCACTGGGTCTGTGATTTGAACTGTGGTGGAGTTAGCGATGCAGGACCCAGTGCCTTAACCTCCACCTTACCTGCTGGTCCTGGCCTTTTATTCTTTTCCTTTTTAGAGACTTCTTTTGCTATAAGGCATGTATGCTCACCAATGAGACAGAGAAATAAAAAGCGAGAAGTCACCTCCCAGTGGAGATGGCTATGCCGCTATCCCTTCTTTCCATTCTCCTCTTGGGATCTTGGGCACGCACATACACATGCCTGGTGTGAGTTTCAAGGCACTGAACCTGGGACTCGAACCACAGTCAGCTATGTGGGAATCCAGCAACATAACCAATACGCCACCTGCTGGTCTCAGGCAGCCTGTTTTTTTTTTTTTTTTAAGAAAAATAAAGAATTATTTATTTAATTTGATTTATTCTTCTTCTTCAGTTTGACCACAGAGAGAGAGAGAGAGAGTGAGAAAGCAAGTCTCCAGATCCAGGACTTGAACAGCTTTCAACCACGTGGGAGTCCAGCACCTTAACCACCATGCCACCTGCTGGCCCCAGGCAGCCTGCTTTTCAAACCACCAGGTCCATACTTCATCAATTTTTAAAAGGCCTATCCCTTCAAGAGTTATATGATGGCCAGGGCCTTACTTCAAAGGAGCAAAGCCCATGACACCAGCAATAGAATTAATTTATAAAAATAACATCTATTACTAAAATATAACCATTTCTATTATAATAATAGAAATAATTATTATTTTCATAGAAGCAGAGCAGTCTCTTTTACACCTGAGAATGAGTATGCAGCTTCGGTCCCGTGTGTCCCTCACTCTGACAAAATCTCACTCTAACACAAAAAACGGGCCTATTTATTGTCCTAGAGAAAGATATCATTGCACGCACTAGAGACAAGGTGACCCAGTGCTATAAGCCAAGAGAAAAAGCGACGCCACTGCCACCCACCTGGGATGGTTAGGGCACAGTCTGTAATTAAATGTGACAGGCAGGAAGAGATGGTGTAGGGATAACGTACACAGTAGTAATTTTATCACAGAGAATGACAAGGCCCATTCTTTCCCTGACCTGACAAGGGCTTCGTCGTCGTTCCAAGGATAACATCAGCTGCAACTCAGGCAGGACATGCTGATCCTGCTCTTCTGAGTTGGAGGGAACTTTTTTCCTTATGTTTTTTACATTCAATCACTGTACATCTTCATAGCATACAAATTGGATCCTATCAGAATACATTGTATATTAGTCCAGTTAAAGATATCGTATACATTACCATCACCAGATAATTTTCCAGTTCTGTGTTCATTAAATGAGTTTGTTTCCCCCGCTCCTCTATTGATTCCTTCCTCTCATCCCCGAATTAGAGGGAACTTAATACCAGAACAGTGGCAGCTTCTGGCTCTTCTCTAGTCTTGTCTCACCAAACCTCCCTTTTCTGCCTCACGTGAAGATCTGCCTAGAATGTAAAGAGGAACTTTCTTTCTTGGCCCAGATGCTGTGGTAGGGCACTGTTCAATGAAGCTAGGCCACACGAAAGGCTTGGGTTCGGTTCCTCAATGTAGCAGGCCAGGCAAGCTGGTGCACGCCTATAATTCTAGCTAACTGGGAGCCTTGGGTGGGAGAATTGTGGTTTAGCAAGACCTTTTTAGAAGCACACCCTCCTTGGGACCAGCAGATGGTGTAATGGTTATGTCGCTGGACTCCCATATAGTCAACTACGGTTTGAGTCCTGGACCCAGTAGCTTAAAACTCATGCCGGGTACATGTGAGTGCATTCCCAAAATCCTAAGAGGAGAATGGTGGAGAAGGGACTGCAGCGTGGCCATCCCCCCTGGGGGATAATTTCTTGCTCTCTGTCTGTCTCTGTCTCTGGCGAGAGCATGTACCCATTTTGAGAGTAAAAATCTCTAAAAAAAGAAACCCACACAAAAGCACACCCTCCTTTCTCATCAAAAAAAAAAAAAGAAAAAAAGAAAGAAAAAAATTCAGTCTTGTAGCAGTGTTTTCTGCCTACTACTAACAAATTGAATCAACTAAAATAAACAAATAGTTATAACTGAACATAATAAGGGTTTTTTCTTTTTTAGAATGATCTTATTTAACTTTTATTTATTTATTTTAATTTGGCCAGACAGGGACAGAGTGAGAGTGAGAAAGTGAAAAAGCAAGCCTCCAGGTCCAAGACTCAAACCGGGACTCAAACTGCGGTCAGCAATGTGGGAGTCCAGTGTCCTTAACCACCATGCCACCTGCTGGCCCCCATAATAAGGATTTTAAAATTTATTATTTATGACCAGGAAATGGCGCAATGTTTACATTGCTGGACTCCCATGTAGTTTAATGTGGTTCAGGTCCAAGACCTAGTGGCTTAAAACTAATGCCGGGTGGCTGGCAAGTGGCGTAGTGGTTAGAGGTGCTGGATTCCCACATGGCCGACTGCAGTTGAGTCCTGGACCTGGCGGCTTGTATTCTTGCTTTACCTTTCTCTATCTCTGCCTCTCTCTGGTCAAAATAATAATGACAAATGGAATTAAATAAATAAGTAAACTCTTTAAAAAAAAAAAAAAAAACAAAACTCATGTAAGGCATGTGTGTATGCGTGCCCAAAATCCTGAGGGGAGAATGGAAGGGAAGGGATTGTGGTGTGATTTCTTGCTTTCTGTTTCTGTCTCTCTAGCAAGCAAATGAGCCCTATAAGAAAAATCTCTCTCCACAGAAAAATTACTATTCATGGTAGAATGCATGCACATGCATAAGAGAGGGTGGCAGGAGACAGAGGCACCATCCACAGGCCTTGGTCATACCACGCTCCCTTTCCTCCTGTTTTCCAGGCTGTCAGGATCCTGATCACATGGCACACACAAGGCATGTGTTTAGGCTGGCCAGGCCTAATGGTGTATGCTACTGGCTATGCCAAAGAGGCTGGCAGGGTCTGATGAGGATTTCTATTATATTTGACAAAACCAGATGTAAGAATCAAACCTTGACAAAATTAACACCTGGAATAATGTGTCTCCACATAACTAAATTTGACAAAACTAGTAGACACAAAAGGGGAGGCTATCTAAAACCATAAAAATAGAAAACCAAACCACAAAACTATTCAAACATCAAATATTTTTTGGTGGAAAATTCTGATGGAAAAAGGTGATTTAAAAACCTCACTAGGGACCAGTAGTTAGCATAATGGCTATGTCGCTGAACTCCCATGTAGTCGACTGCGGTTCGAGTCCTGGACCTGGTGGCTTAAACTCACGCCGGGCCCATGTGCGTGCGTGCCCAAGATCCCGAGAGGAGAATGGAGGAGAAGGGAATTGTGGCGTGGCCATCCCCCCGGGGGGGTGATTTCTTGCTTTCTGTCTCTGCCTCTCTCTGTCTTTTTGGTGAGTGCATGTGCCCTGTAGCAAAAACCTCTTCCCCCCCCAAAAAAAACCCCTCACTAAGCATTGGCCCCCTAGCACAGTGGTTAAACTCAGCATATCAGAAGCTGATCCTGTGATTTTTAATACAGGTTCCAGAAGCTTGAAAAATACCAGGCATGGGCCAGCCAGCGGCATAATGGTTAAGTTGACTGGGTCCCACATGGCTGACTCCATGGTTCAAGTCCTGAACCTGGTAGCTTGAAAAACATTCTGGGCACGTGTGCATGCATACCCAAATCCCAAGAGAAAGGAGAGATATTGAAGGGATGGCTGCGTAACAATTCCCCATGAGGAGTATTTTCTTCTCTCCTTCTGTTTGATTGGCAAGGCACATGCACCCTCTAGCAAAAAAAAAAAAAAAAAAAAAAATCAAACTGCATACCAAGTTGGTTCCTCAGAAGGCCAAAGACAGCCTGTATTTGAGCAAAAGCTTCTGGGATGGAGTCTGGCACCTCAGGCTCTAGGCCCAGTTTTTTTGAAAACTAGTGATATGCCCTCTGAACCTCTTTCTCCATCTATGAAGTAGGAGGATGAGCTACATAACATCTGAAGCCTTAGAAAACCTTGAATTATGATTCGCTTACTCCCTTGGGGAAGCCCCTTTACTGTCCAGAACCACAGTTAACACACTCGCCATGTAGAGCTATTGTGAAAGTTAAAGGAATTGATCATGATAAACCAGCTGTCATTTGTCAAGTGCCTCATCTATTCCAAGCACTTGACTTGATGCTTCCCAAGCACGCTGGGAGGGGATATCACAATTAATGACCTCAGAGTGAGGAAGCAGACTGAGAAGCCAAGGAGACAGCTTGGCGAGGAGCTGGAGTAAAGCTGGCAGGAAAGCCAGCCTGCAGCCCTGCAACCAGCATGCAGGGCCTCTGAGCAACGAGCAAGCAGAATGCTCATGCCAAGAAGCTCTGCAATGATCTGGGAGGCCCTAGGGCTGCTCACTGAACCCAGAGCCCTGGCTGAACAGTGTTAACTTGGCGCAGGAGAAACAAGTGCTGGGCTCCCTCTGCTGGGGTTAGGTGGGAACAGGGTCACTTTCACCCAGGGGCTTCTGACCAGTCCAACAACACTCTGGAGCATAACAACGAAGCCTGCTGTGTCCTTTAGGGCATGGCACACAGACTCCAAATGCAGAATGGGAAGGACCGGGAAGGGCCCGCTCCACGAGGCATCAGACCTGTGCCTCCCCGAGCCTTAGCATTCTTTCTCCAGCCAACAATGGGACCAGTTCAGGGCAGGGCTGGGAGTGTTGGGTTGGCAGTGCTCATAAATGGAGGCTACTTCAATCCCAGGCTCTCTTGGTCCTCCCTTCTTCCTACTGCTGATTAGGAAATAAGACGATTATGGTCAGGGCTCCCTGGGGATGCTATGGCTATTTCTGTCCTCCACTTACCCTCCTCAGAACTTCCAGTGATCCACCATAGTCTTCTCCCACTGCCCAGGTCAGGAAAAGCTGGGCGTGTGCAGTGCTGGGGACTGAAATTACCAGCACTTTGGGATAGGAAGAGGAAAGGAAAAGAGTGCCCAGGGCTCTTTTCACCCTGATAACGTCAGCCGAATTACATTTCTACATTCACATTCTTTTCTACTGGTTGAAAAAAAATGTGCTCTGCCCACCTACTCAAGATGCAAATACTCTGTCGTCACTTTTGTCATCTGCTGGGTAGTATGAAGACTTCACAAATTAAAGCCAGAGCATGCTTCCTAAAGTCCAGTGACATGCCAGGACTCCCAGGTGGAGTGGACACAACAGACGTCAGTGTGATGACAGCGAACCGCTTCAGTTGGAGGAAGGAGCCGAGAACAGCCAGTACCAGGCTCTCAGCAAACCTCGGCCCATGCCCCAGCCCCAACCTCTCCATGGCGCCTGCCCAGTACCCTGCACTGATGGGGGTGATCAGCTCCGTGGCAGTTGTCACTTTGGCTTTCACGGTCATGATGTTGAGGTTCATGAGGTAGTAGAAAGTCAGATGAAGCACACTGTCATCTGCAGGGGGAGAGAAGGAGAAAGGCCATTCACTCAGAGCAGTCAATGTTCTCACAGGAAATAAACTCAAAGCGGCTATTATGATCTTTTACTATGAAAACAAAACCTCAATGGCAATTATGATATAGAGCAAAAACAGCAGAGAGAGGGTCCACCGTGGTGGTATGGTGCTGCTGGGACACTGTGCTTCACAGGCTGAAACCACATGGGAGCCTGTGTCTAACGAGGACATTAACGTCAGGGGAAGCTGCGTGAACGTGATATACATAAGAATGCATTATTTCTGCCCAACCTTCTCTAGGTCTAAAATGATCTCGAAATAAAAGTTAGAAAAGGCAAAGAGAATCAGTGTGCACGGCACATTTCCACTGTGTAAGAGGCCAGCAGGTGGCATGGTGGTTAAGGCACTGGACTCCCACATGGTTGACCTCAGTTCAAGTCTCAGACCTAGTGGCTTGCTTTCTCACTTTCCCTCTCTGTCTCTGGTGAGTGCACATGCCCAATAGCAAATTAAAAAAATAATTAATAAATAAAATTAATAATTCTTAAGAAAAAAATAAGAAGTCAGGGTGGGGCCAGTAGGTTGTATGGTTAAGATGCTGGATTCTCACATGGCCACTGTGGTTTGAATCCCAGACCTGGTGGCTTGAAAATCATGCTGGGCGTGTGTGCATGCGTGCCCCAAATTCCAAGAACAGAACAGAGAAGAAGGGACTATGGCCTGACCATCCCCCTGGGGGGTGATTTCTTTCTCTCTCTCTCCCTCTCCCACGAGTGCATATGCCCTAAATAAGAGTTTCTTGATGCACAGAATATTTACAAAATACATGAGGAATCTGTTGTTATCAGAAATAAGACTAAAGACTAGCTCTGGAAGCCCTGCATGAGAGGAGAACTTAAATTTCACTATGAACTCCTATACACTTTATTACATGATACGTTTCCCATACAAAACCAGTTTTGAAACATACACTCTCTGTAGAATACAGAATTCTATTTATATTTATTAACCACATTGGTAGTATGACTTAAACCTGAATACTCCTCTGGGTACTCTGTTTTTCATTTATAAGAGAGGAGGATGAGAGAGGGACATGAGAGATAGAGATAAAGATAGGCATTTTTTTTTAAATAAAAGAATTATTGGGGACCAGCAGATGGCATGGTGGGTAAGACACTCCCATGTAGCAGACCATGATTTTGAGTCCTGAAACTGGCTGCTTGTTTTCTCACTTTCCCTTCTTTCTCACTTTGTGTCTCTCTGGTCAAATTAAAATAAATGAATGAATAAATAATATTAAATAAATAATTATTTTAAAAAGGAGTATTTATTTAAAATTTTGTCTATAATTATTAATATTTTTTAAAAACTTGCTAGAGACAGAGAGAGAGAAAGAGCCAAATCCAGGGCTCAAACTGAGAACAGCCACGTGGGCATCCGTATCTTAACCATTGTCACCTGCTGGCTCTAAGGTAGGTATTTATGACAAAGTCTCACTATACAATCCTCCTTCTCTAGCCTCTCTAGCTATTATTACAGGTGTTTATGTTCTGGTTGGTCTGGAAACTAAACACAGGGCTCCCAAGCAGCTTTCAGACTCCCAAGAAGTGGGGCTACCTGTGTGCCACCATGGCTAGATCTGTTCTGGGATCTGACTTGTCAAACTGAGACAGAGAAAGTTTCATCAAGCTTCCCTATGTGTCTGGAGTTTTGTTATGATTTTGACTTAACAACAAAAGAAAAAAACTCCATGCCTAACAATGAAGGAAAGCAGAAAAATATTAAACAGGAATCCTTTCTTATGCAAAGAGACCACTGGCTCACTGGACCCTATGCATCTGCAGATCCCTCAGGATGAGGTGAGTGAATCCAGACCTTTGCACTTCAGGTCGAGCATGACGGACAGCGGGTGCCTCTTCAGCATCTCCTTGCGCTTGTCATCCAACTGAACCCCCAGCGTGGGTCGTCGGCGTTTCTGGGCAAAAAGAGCCAAGATGGTGAGCAGTGGCCATCTGAATTTCCCCCTTCCCTACCACTGCCAGCCAGGGCCTCAGCACTGCTCCTGGGACCCGCTGCTTCAGCTGGCAAGCTCCCCTCCCAGCAGCCCTTGCTTTCAAATCTCTTTCATCTGCTGCTAGGGAGGAGGCACCTAAAAACCGACCAACCCCAGTGCAGCCTGGCGCCCCACTAATGGAATGGGTCTCACCGTGGTCTGCTCCTCCTCAGCATCTGAGTCACTCTCGTCATCTGCAGCCACACAGAGAAGACGGTTAGAGCTGGAGGGTCCCAATGTTCCCTAAAGTACCTCAACCCACAGAGCACCAAGGAGCTAGACTCTTGTAAATTTATGTAAGTTTATTCTAAACTCTTTAGAATAAATAATAATTTGCTGCTTATTCAGTCCAGAAAACATGGTGGTATAAGAAGAAAAGACCTATTGTCCTACTACCTGTCCCCTCCCCTTCTTAATTGCCAGAGGGTACAAGCACTCACCAGAGACAGAGAGAGAGAGAGGGAAAGCACTTGCCCAAGGGTGTGGTCACACTGCAATCCCTTCTCCTCCACTTCACCTAGTCAGGATTTCAGGCACACATACACACAAGCCTGGCATTTGCCAAGCCACCAAGGTTAAGACTCGAACCACATTCAGCCATGTGGGATCTGGCTCCTTTGACCTCTAGGCTACGGAGCGAGCTCCCACCACCTCTGTTTCTTGAAGAGCTTCTAAGTGTCCTTTCTATGGAACACAAACCCTTCCTCTGCTGGTGGTGACGGTAATAGTAACACAAATAACAGTTGCTCTGCAGAACACAGAGGCAAACACATTCTGAAAAACCAGCCTGATTTTTATCAGGGAGAAAAAAATTATCTTCCTGATCTGGCCCTGTGGCCTAGGGGTTAAGACAGCTAGATTCCACATGACTGATCAAGCTGTTCAGCACCAGCAGCTTTAACAACAAGTTGGCACGAGTGAGTGCGTGCCTAGAGTCCAGATGGGATGGAGAAATGGAGGAAGAGGGATTGCTGCATGACCACATCCCACTGGGAAGTACTTTCTTCCTCTGCCCACCATCTCTCTGATCCCCACCTCCCTACTCCCAGTTTCTCCATGGTAAGCACACATACCCTCTAGCAAATTAAACTTTTTCTAAAGATAATGCCAAGTACATTATTTGGAGCATTTTGGTTTTTTAACAAGGTAACCAAAATCTTTACTGGCTTTTTCATTAAAAATGGTTATCCTTCAGGGAAGTTTGGGATGTATTCAAAATTAACACAATTAATGTAATATAAAGCCTTAAAAAAAAAAACAACCAACACTGAGAGCTGTCATTCATGTAATTTGAGAGAATGCTCTGAGTTGAGGATGATGCTAAATGCCTTGTGTGTCTTACCTTATTTAATCCACGTAGTAACTCTCCAAGAAGTATTACTATCTAGTTCTACAGATGAGGAAACCGAGCCTCAGACACATTAAGCACCTTCCCCAGTGTCAGGGAGCTAGACAGTAAGCTAGAGCCAAAATCTGGAGGCAGCATTTTGACTCCAGGAACTAGGATTAGATCTACCTCAGGGCATTAAGACACTAAAGTTTCCTGCTACCCCAAGTAAGTCGAGCTGATCTGATCCTTCAAGAACCAAGCCTGTCCTTAGGGTGTGACTTGACATTCCCAGGGGAGGCCTTCCAGACATTACATTACCTTGGGAGTCCTCAGGAGGCTTGAACAGAGCCTTGGCTTCATCCACACTGCCTTCGATTGCCACAGACAATGTCTTATCTGGGGGTGAAAATAAGGTTTTTAGGAAGCTGAATGCAGGCCACCTTTGTGGCTGCATTTCTCGTTTCTGTCTCAGCTCCTTACTGACTAGGGGTGAGAAGGCAAAAGCTCTTTCTTCAGGTGAAGAGGAACAAGGTGGGAAACTTAAGTCTTTTTCTCACTACCGAGAACAAAGAATGCAAAGTACAGATTCCCAGGCAAGTCTGACCTAAGACTAGTGATGAACACCTCTCTTTGGGTGCATGCCAAGGCACAGAAACGCAAATCTAGGGACAAAAGCCGTGTGGAACACTTCTGTCATTTGTTTTCAAGGTTCTCACCTAGAAGCCCAGACTTTCTACATCCCAGAAATGATGGCTCTCATCTAAGTGCTTACCCTATCCTGAGCTATACCAAGCACCTGGCTGACATCTCTTAACTAGATAGCAGGCTAGTGGGTAGGAATCTGGACCCCGCAGTCCACTCCCTGGCCTGAGTCCCTGCCCCAATTTCTGAACATGACACCTGTGATGTTACGTTACTACTCTGAGCCTCAGTTTCCACACTGATGGAGTGGGGGCTTCAAAAATGGTAGCTGCCTTACTGCGTCACTGGGGACTAAATGAGTTGATAACTTATCATTGTAAGGTTACTTTTAGTCCTCAGAACTCTGTAAGAGGAACAGTATTATTAAGGCCTTTATATTGGATCATCTGAAAAGTCATGATGCATTTCTTTTTCCTTTTTTTTTTTTTGGAGAGGTTTTCGCTATAGGGCGCGTGTGCTCACCAGACAGAAAGAGACATAGAGACAGAAAGCGAGAAATCACCCCCCAGGGGGGATGGCCACACCGCAATCCTTCCTCCATTCTCCTCTTGGGATCTTGGGAACGCACGCACACGCGCCCAGCGTGAGTTTTAAGCCACCGGGTCTGGGACGTGAACCGCAGTCGATTATGTGGGAGTCCAGTGACATAGCCATTACGCTAACTGCTGGTTCCCTTTTTCTTTCTTTTTTTAAAGAGGTTTTTGCTATAGCGCGAGTGCGCTGGCCAGACAGACAGACAGAGACAGAGAGATGGAAAGCGAGAAATCACCCCCCAGGGGGGATGGCCACACCGCAATCCTTCCTCCATTCTCCTCTTGGGATCTTGGGAACGCACGCACATGCGCCCAGAGTGAGTTTTAAGCCACCGGGTCTGGGACGTGAACTGCGGTCGACTACATGGGAATCCAGCGACATAGCCATTATGCTAACTGCTGGTCCCCATGATGCATTTTTGCACAGAAAAATACATCACGACTTTTCCAGCAACCCAACAGATGAGAAACTTAAGGATCACAGAAGTTACATGCCCTAGCCAGAAAGCAAGTGAGCTAGGATTCCAGACCAGTCCTTCATCTTGAGCTCGGTCACTTGAGCACTGAGCTGCTGAGCATGTCACTCGCTGGGCCTGACATCTTACTGAGAGTGTGGACTGCCCTTTGTGGAACTAGAGGTCTAGCACTGTGAAATCAGACAGCCCACCACCCCTACTGCTGCATCCTTGGGGTACAGACTATCACAGGAGCCTGCAGCACCTTGCCCGGGTGTATGAGAGAGAGATGGCAAACCTTTCCAAGTGGCAGGCCATCACCCCATCTCTAACAATCCCACATGGGACCATCATGGTGTCTCCATCAACTGGCAAATACCAAACTAATCTTATAATTCAACATTAAGATGGAAATAAAAACAGGCTGGGTTTTAAACACAAAATAAAAGAAAATTACTCACCCTGTCTAGGGGGCTGGGAGGAGGATTTCATATGAGCTGATGATGGAAACAGGAGGGAGAACAAGGGGAGGGAGAGGACCCGAAGGACCAGGGAAACACAAGAAGAGACAGTAATGTGTTGGTGCCCACGGCTGGGAAGACAGGCATACAATACATGTCAGTCTGATGCGGTGGGATGGGGGAAACAAAGTCAAGTGCCAGGGGAAAGCTGCATTGGGGCAAGAGGCAGTGTCTGCAAAACTCAAAACCCTAGCAGTCACAAGCTGCCTTTAAGCAGAATCAGGATGCATTCCCCAATGTGGTCATTAACCGTAACAACATGCAGCCCATTCTTGGGCATGGTAAAAGCTAGAGAGCAGGCTGGGACCTGTGTTCACCAAGCCCCACCCCCTTTAAAGCAAAGCAAGAGGCATCAATCCACCAGCCAAGCGTGCCTTGGTGGGTGAACATCTGGGAGCCCAGGCAGGCTGCCTGAGCACTGCACCCAACAGCCATCCAGCCAAGCCCATGGGAGGCTCAAAACCATCACTTTGAAATGCCCATCAGCTGAGCTCAGCCACAAGCAGCTGGTCAAAGCAGCCATGCTGGGCGGTGCAAAGGGGGTAAAGCGGGTAGGCAGCATCTGTCACCTGAAGGCTTCTGGGCAGGGCAGGGAGCACTCCCTGGCAGGCTGTGCTTCCAAATGACTCGCTGCTCCCAGAGCCCCCGTCCCTCGCCAGCCCCCATACTCACCACAGGCCTGCCCGTACGCAGTGGCCTGGACAAACAGGACGTAGAGGGGAGGTGGGAGGTGCCTGGCTGTCTCATACTGCTTGTGAGCCTGGTCAAACGGCATGAACAGGTACTCCTGCACTGGGAGGGAAGCCTGCATGCAACCAAAGACAGATTTTGTTTTTCCTTTGTTAGCCAGTCCACATAGGAACATGAGGCTGCTTAGTGATTACATATAGTTTTTATTTACAAAAGTAGTATGTGATAAACTAGTAGAAGAAATAAGCAGATAAAAGGTCAATATAAAAATACCAGATGGGACTGCCTCCGTGGCCTGGTAGCTAAGGAAGCTGGATCACACATGGCCAACTGCAGTTCAAGTTCTGGACCTGGCAGTTTAAGAAACATGCTAGGTGGATGTGTACACGTACCCAAAATCCGGAAAAGAGGGAGAGATTGAAGAGAAGGGATAGAAGTGTGAACCACACCCACTGGGGTGTACTCCCCTCTGTCTATATGCCTTCTGGCCTCCCCAATAAAAAAAAAAAAACAAGTGGGGGACTTTTACCACCCTAGTGCTTTCAAATACTTGAAAGGTTCTTTGCAGAGTAGATCTGCTGAGCAATCTGCCCCAAGTTATAATCAGAGGGATCTCACAGACATCCACAGGGAGTGTGTTTATATGCCAGAAGTCTGTGAGGCTAGTGGGGGCCGTGCAACACATCTGAGAAAGTAGGTTACCCATGGGAGGCTATGGTGGAAAGAAAATGCCCAGGTAGATGTGCATATGTTCCTGAGTCCAACCAGCCAGCAGTCTTGCTCCAGGAAACCAGCTTATAGGACCAGCTGGGTAGAACTGCAGATACCACCACCCTCAGGCAGTACTCTAATAGCAATTAGGGTTAACAGACGTGCAAAGCCCAAAGGGTGACTGGGCTTCTGGCAGCCCCTGGTCAATGGTGAAGGCAAAGCAAAAGGCCGGCAGGTCTCACCTGCATGATGCTGTTGAGGCGAGGCTGGAGGCTGCTCAGGTACTCCTTCTTCACCTCAATCTCCTTAAGGATCTTCTCCTTGTTGGACAGGCACTCTTGGTACTTCTCTGCCAGCCTGTTGGGGGAGGATAGAACATTGGCACTTGATGCCCTCCCAGGGACACCCCGACGTGCCTGTTCACTGTTTGGCTCTATCTAATGACACAGCCATGACTAACTGCTAACGCTTACCAGCACTTAGTGTGTGCTAGGTATTCAAGCAAGCTGGTTACAAGCATTATTGCATTTAATCCTTAACAAAATCCTGAAGACAGGGACTTTTCTTATCCCCAAAGGAGGAAAATGAGGCCCAGGAAGGTAGATAATCTGCCCAAGGTCACCCAGCTAAGAGCAAACATGGAGCTGGGCTTTGAGTCCATGCCTGTCTCTCCAGTGGCCCTGCCCATGTCTTCCAGGGCATAACTGTATCGTCTTCTGCTCCAGGTTTTGTCTGGGAAACTAGCCTCGAAACATTCACACACACACACCTGGCAAGGCAGCACTCACAGGGCAAGCAGGGGACTAGACGGGAGTGACAGGCTACCCCTTCTGCTACAATACTGGCACGAATCCCCTACGATGCAGATTCAGTGCTACTTCAACTTAGAACCTGGATTGAAGGCAAAGAATACATCCTGTAACAGACAAAGGCAACTACACCAACTACCACTTCTTTTTTTTTGGAGAGATTTTCACTGTAGGGCGCGTGCGCTCGCCAGACAGACAGAGAGAGACATAGAGACAGAAAGCGAGAAATCACCCCCAAGGGGGGATGGTCACGCCGCAATCCCTTCTCCTCCATTCTCCTCTCGGGATCTTGGGCACGCACGCACACGCGCCCGGCTTGAGTTTTAAGCCACCGGGTCCAGGACACGAACCGCGGTCGACTACGTGGAAGTCCAGCGACATCGTCATTACGCTAACTGCTGGTTCCCACCAACTACCACTTCTCAGAGAACAGAGTTGTTGGGCCAGCCAAAAGCCCTAGGATTTTTTTTTTTAATGTATTAACTTTATTTATTATTATTATTATTTTCTAGTTTTGATCGGAGAGAGACAGAGAGATACGGAAAGTGAGAAAGCAAGCCACCAGGTCCGGGATTCAAACCTCAGTCAGCCATGTGGGAGTCCAACATCTTTTTTTCTTTTGGAGAGGTTTTTGCTATAGGGCGTGTGCGCTCACCAGAGAGAGAGAGAGAGACATAGAGACAGAAAGCGAGAAATCACCCCCAGGGGGAATAGTCACACCGCAATCCCTTCTCCTCCATTCTCCTCTCGAGATCTTGGGCACGCACGCACACGCGCCCGGCCTGAGTTTTAAGCCACCACGTCCGGGACTCAAACCGCGGTCAACTACGTGGGAGTCCAGCGACATTGCCATTACGCTAACTGCTGGTCCCTGCCCTAGGATTATTATAGAAATATGAAAGAGATGCAACCACAAAAAGTCCAGAATGAAAACAAAACAAAACAAAACAAACTGCTACATTCTTGGAAAGACTTAACTTAAATTACATGGCATAGTAATTCTTTTTATGGCTAATAACACAAAAATGGCCTATTAATACAATTAAGTTTTATATACAAAGGTGATTTGAAACATTATTTATGATGGAAACAAAAAAAAAAAAAAAGGAAACAACCTAAAAGTCCAATGGGAATTACTTTGTAAAGTTCTGTTTTTCTATAATATGACATATTGTAAACCTTAGGAAATGCTTACAAAGCTTTGTAATATCATGGGAATGTGGGGGTAAAGGCAAAATAAAAAATTAGATATATGACATACAAGACATTTAGGTCTAGGGTGTTAACATTTAAAGGAAAAAAAACTGATTCAGTTTTCTGTTAACAACTCTAAGCCATGACAACCCCATACATGATGAGGTCGATCAGGTTTAAACTATCCAGGGTGAATTTATCAAGAAAATCCTAGAAAGTAGGATTTAGACTTAGAGATTATGATGCTGAATCCATAGCGCTTGCTGTCTGATCCTAGGTCAGGACAAAGCACTGTCACTCTGAGGTTAACAAGGTCAGGAAGAAGGAAATACTACCTTTTCCGCTGCTCCAGCTCCCAGTCCAGGCGTGCCAGGGTTTGCTGGTGAGGGTCTCCCATGGTGATTTCAGCCTTGCTGATATCTGACGGAGCCTCCTTGTAAAACTCCTCCACACTGACCAGATCAATTTCTTCATGCTTTGACCTATAGGCAGAAACTAGACATCAAGCTGCAATCTACGGCTAAAGCAGGTGCAAAGTTCCCTCCATCTTTGCCCACTTAGCCTTGGTCCGCAGCTACTCGGGCTCCTATAAGACAGTTTTCAGAGCAAATGCTCAATAGCAGATGTTTTAGAGTAACGTCAGTAGCTGGCAACATGCCATAGGTGCCATAGGGCACATGCATTCACCAGAGAGAGAGAGAGAGAAAGGGAAAGTGAAAAATCACTCCGTGGGGGGATGGCCATGCCGCAATCCCTTCTCCACTCTCCTCTCTGGACTTTGGGCATGCACACACTCACACACACACATGCACCCAGAGTGATCTTCTTTTCTTTTCTTTGAAAGAATTATTTATTTGGGACCAGCAGTTGGCATGATGGCTATGTCGCTCGACTCCCATATGGTTGACTGCGGTCCAAGTCCCGGACCTCGGGGCTTAAACTCACAGCAGGCACGTGTACATGCATGCCCAGGATCCTGAGAGGAGAATGGAGACGGGATTGTGGCGTGGCCATCCCCCACGGGGAGTGATTTCTTTCTGTCTCTCTGTTTTTCTGGCGAGTGCACATGCCCTATAGCAAAAAACCTCTCCAACACACAAAAAAAGTTATTTTTATTTAACGTTATTTACTTATTTTAAATTTGACCACAGTGAGACAGACCAAGAGAGAAAGAGAGACAGAGAGAGAAATTGAGAAAGCAAGTTGCCAGGTCTGGGACTAGAACCACAGTTGGCCATGTGGAAGTCTAGAGTCCTTAATCACCACTCCACCTGCCGGGCCCATTGATATCTTATCTAACCATAGTACATGATCAAAATCAGGAAACTGGGGACCAGAAGTTAGCGTAATGTCTATGTTCCTGGACTCCCATGCAGTCAACCGCGGTTCAAGTCCTAGACCCGGTGGTTCGAGTCCTGGACCAGGTGGCTTAAACTCATGCTGGGCGCGTGTGTGTGCGTGCCCAAGATCCGGAGAAAAGAATGGAGGAGAAAGGATTGCAGCGTGGCTATCCCCCTGGGGGGTGGAACCAAGATGCCTCTCAAAAATTCAGTAACATGGGACCAGCAGTTAGCATAATGGCTATGTTGCTGGACTCCCATGTAATCGACTGCAGTTCAAACCTCAGACCCAGTAGCTTAAACTCACACCGGGTGCGTGTGCGTGCGTGCCCAAGATCCCAAGAGGAGAATGGAGGAGAAGGGATTGCAGTGTGGCCGTCCCCCTTGGGGGGTGATTTCTTGCTTTCTGTCTCTCTGTCTCTCTCTGTCTTTCCGGTGAGTGCACGTGCCCTATAGCAAAAACCTCTCAAAAAAAAAAAAAGAAAAAAAAATCAATAACATTATTTAAAAATATGTTAGATTACATGTCTAACATGGCCCCAGTCATGTCAAGTTTGTCACAAATAAAATCTGTAATTTTTTAATTTGCACAAACAGGTATGACCAGGCAAGAACACTCTCCCTTCTCTTCCTGTTTAATTCTTCCTCCTCCTCATCTCTACCTGGGTTTTGCCAAGAGGCATCCCATTTTAACAAGGACACTGACAAACTATAGTTTCTTCACCTGAAAGCAGCTAAGCACCAATAACTTCAGGTCTAAAGAGTAAATTTCATTTCAAAAAATGAATTGCTGGGACTCGAGAGGAAAAGAAAGCCAAAAGGTTGAAAGGATGGGATTAGAAGTGAGATGTTCCCATACAACAGGCCCAGGAATCAAACTGGTAATACAAGGGCCCTTGCTGGGGAGAGAGAACTGCTTTCTACCAAGTGCAGAACTCAGAACTCAAAAGGGTCAGAGAACCTTCTGAGGTTCTTTGTGCAGCAAAAACTACTGCTTATAACTCTCTCACTTGAGGTGATGTCTATTCATTCTTTCTTCTCCCGATCCTGCAGTCTTCCAAGCTCATCAGTTTCTTTCTGAAGAGACTAGATCACACTGAGCTATGGAAAAAAGTTACCGACAGGCCATCTGTGCCAAAGCCCTGTCCTCGCAAACTCACTTAAACTCCAGACATTTGGTGATCTCCTTCTGTAAGTGCATCACCTCATACAACAGGTTCTGCAGCTGCAGGTGATAGGCGTCGACTTTCTGCTTAGCCTGAAAGGAGGACAAAATCAGAGGAGAGCGGGGTAAGTTGGGATGGAGTCAGGCAGACCATTAGCAAACTCGGAGAAGGGGTACAGGGGACGTCGAAGGAGGGTTAATCAAACTCTGAATTCCTACCTCATGGGTCTGATCTCTTCCTTTCTTCAACCTGATATGGGCTAATCTGTTAAGCTTCTTTAGGGTCATGAAATGCACACAGCTTTGGATCCTCCGTTCTTCAATTTCAATTGCCTGCAAAGAATTTTTTTCCCCCCCAAAAGATATTGTATTTATTTTTACATTCAATCACTATATATCATTACAGCATACAAAATGAATATTCCCGGCATGAATACCTTGTATTCATGCCAGCCAGAGAGCTATTACCATACACATTATCTTCAACAGGTAAATTCCCATCTTTGTGTCCTTCAAATGTTTTGCTTCTTTTTCTCCTTGATTCCTTCCCTCTCACCTCCCCCATTTCCCACCCTCCTCCCATACCATCTCTAGTACCCACAGTTGTTCTCCATGCTTTTACGCCTTCTAACCTTTCAGCTTCTGCCACGGAGTGCAAACATTCAGTAGATACTGAGTGGGGACAGACAATGCCTCTTTCATAGTCTGGCTTGCTTTGCTTCGCAGTAAATCTTCCATATTCATCTACTTTCTATCAAATGGTCTTGGTTTTTATGGCTACACAGTATTCCATAGTGTATATGTGCCACACTTCTCAATCCATTCATTCATCTGTTTGTGGACATCTGGGTTGGTTCCATGGCAAAGAAAATGCTAAAGACCATTGACACATCTTGCCATAAATTTTTTTTCTATTTTCTATGGTCATGGAATAGCAGTTAAGTGCTGCCCAGGATGCTGACAGGATACAGAATTAAAGGAAAAAGCGTTGTGATGTGACCAAGGCCCATTGGAGGTGCTTCCCATCCCTTCCTTTCTCCTCTTCTCTCTCTTTTGTGGGCACGTATATGTCTTACAACACCAAAATAAATAAAATGAATGAATGAATGAAAAAAAATTTCAACATCTAAAAACAACACTACAGAATAATTTAAATAAAATTTTAAAAATTACAGCTATAGGGACCAGCAGATGGTGTAATGGTTACATTGCTGGACTCCCACGTAGTCAACCACAGTTCGAGCTTCGGTCCAGGAGGCTTAAAACTCAGGCCAGGCGCCTGTGCGTGTGTGCTTAAAAGCCTGAGAGGAGAACAGAGGAGAAGGGACTGCAGTGTGGCCATGCCCCATGGGAGGTGATTTCTCACTTTGTCTTTCTGTCTCTATGGCCAGCATATGTGCCCGATAGCAAAAATCTCTCTCTTAAAAAAAAAAAAATTTATAGCTATAAACGTGGCTATGATAAAATAGATACAATGTAATAATCTTAGAAATATTGATCAGCATATGTACGGTGAGATTCCTGAGAGAAAAATGGACTTTTTTAAAACTTACCCATCCAGTTTTCAGTCACACTGTTGAGCTTTTTGTCCTCAAAGCCCAGTTTATTCATTTAATATTGGTTGTCAGAAAAGTTATGATGCATCTTTGCATTAGAAAAACATAGAAAAATACATCATGACTTTTCAGACAACCCAGTATTAATGATAACTTCATTCTTAAGTCTTTATGATTTACACATATCCATCTTCATAATATCAAGGGAATTTACATGTATCATTTCTTTCTTTTTTATTTTAGAGGTTTTTGCTTTAGGATACGTGTGCTCATGGTGTGTGGGGTGTTCAGGGGTGAAGAGGCAGAGAGACAGTGAGAGGGAAAGTGAGAAATCATCCCCTAGGGGGATGGCCACATCGCAATCCCTTTTCCATTCTCCTCTTGGGATCTTGGGCACACATGCACATACACCTACTGTGATGTTTAAGCTGCTGGGTCCGGGACGCAAACCATGGTCAGCCCTGTGGGAGTCCAGCAGTGTAACCACTATGCCATCTGCTGGCCCCCATCACATCTTAACATCTAGCAAAATGCCTGGTACTTAATGGGGCTGGCACTCTGGCCTAGTGGTTAAATAAAGATGGATCCCTCATGGCTGCCCACATGGCTGGCCCTGAAGGCTTGAAAAACATACCAGGTGGGACCAGCAGATGGCATAATGGTTGTCACTGGACTCCCATGTAGTCGACCATAGTTTGAGTTCTGGACTCGGCAACTTAAAACTCACACATGAGCACGTAAACTCAAGACCCTGAGAAGAGACTGGAGGGGAAGAGACTGCAGCATGGTCATTGCCCCCCACCTCCCAGCAGTGATTTCTCGCTTTCTGTCTCTCTGGTGAGCACACATGCCCCATAGCAAAATCTCTCTCTAAAAACATTTTGAAAAAGCCAGGTACATATGTGTGCATCCCTAAAATCTGACAAGATGGAAAGATGGAAGAGAAGAGATTTGTGGTGTGACCATGTCCCATTGGTGGGGTGCCTCTTCCCTGTCTCTTTCTCTGGAGAGTATATGCAACTCTGGCAATTCAAAAAAATTAACTCAATGAATCAAATTACAGTAGCACATGCTAGCTGACACTGCTACTCAGCAGGGTGAGGAATTTGGGATATCCAGGTTTGTGTCTCGGCCTATCCTAAACGCCAGACTTGGTTGCACACCTCGAGTTCCAGCTACTTAGGAGGCTGAAGCAAGAGGATTATGACACAGTGAGACCCTCTCTTTAAAAAAGAAAATTAGTTATAGAAAAAATGGATTATTCTTTATTTTCATTGTTATAATTGGTGACTGAATGATGATAAAAAGTGCCAATGAATTAATAGACCTCTCTAATAATTAAAAGGTCTTAAAGGGTCCTCAGACTCCAACACATGATCACTGCCAGGACAGAAGACCAAGGCCAGGAAGGCAATAGTAGGTGTAAAACAGCCCCACCAGGTTCATGGCCGCCAGGTCACCAGGTTCAGATTTTATATATAACGAACTTAGCATGAGTGGGGCTACATTAAACAAGGCGTTCAGCATATTTTAAAATAATGATTACTGCTGATTTTGAGAGGCACCCTTATCTGTTCCTCCAATTTGTCACGTCCTGATACTTAAATACTAACAGAGGTGAAATCCTTATCAAGTTCTGCTCCTTACCACATCCTTGCCGCCCCTGCTCTTCAGATCTTGGATCTCGGCCATCAGCCGCTGTAGCTCCTGGCACGTGTACTTGTAGAGTTCGTAGTCTCTGCCAGGGTCCCGCAGGTCTACCTCAGCTTCCTCACTGTAGTATTTACCTTCCTGTGGAGGTAAGGATAGAGGCCCTGGGTGCGAGGTAAAGTCTCCCTGGCAAGACCAGGGACACTTGGTTGAAATCTCATGGTACATAAGAACAGTAACTAAAGCCCAATCAGGATCTGGCCCTCAAATCAAATGTTTATTCTTATTTTCAAATGGAAACGCTTTTTCTCTTTCTGATTATAAAATAGTACATTCTTGGTGTCAGAGATTAAGAACATAGGAAAGAATATGGAAAAAAGTCAAATTTTCCTACAACCTCACCTCTCAGCCTAAAACAACTCCATTATGGATACTGTGGGTAAATACAGATTTTTAAAAAAATAAAATGGGATCATACTGCCCACACTGTTTAGTGCAACTTCCCATTCCAACCTAGCTGTCCATCAGAATGGCTGCAGGATAGTCTCCTGTAGAGATGAACCAGAATTCACTTAACCAAATTCCTACTAATAGGTATTTAGATGGTCAAATCAGACATGGCAGAGATAAAACACCATAACTGAATGCCCAGCCTTTGCCGTAAACAGAATACATGAGACTTAAAAGAGAGCTAAAATCAATATCTAAAAAGGACAAGACTCCTCATTAATTTTGATTTCTTAAATCAGAGGGAGGCATCATTTTATGAATTTAAATTTAGGCTGGTATGTTTTCTTTCTTTTTTGAAGTTTTTTTTTTTTTTTTTTTTTTTGCTATAGGGCACGTGCGCTCGCCAGAAAGACAGAGATAGAAAGTGAGAAATGACCCCCTGGGGGATGGCCACACTGCAATCCCTTCTCCTCCATTCTCCTCTTGGGATTTTGGATATGCACACACATGAAGCCACCGTGAGTTTAAGCCACTGAGTCTGGGACTTGAACCAGAGTTGACTACATGGGAGTCCAGCGACATAGCCATTACGCCATCTGTTGGTCCCTAGGCTGGGATTTTTTTTTTTTTTAAGAGGTTTTTGCAATATGGCACATGCGCTTGCTGGAAAGACAGAGAGACAGAAAACGAGAAACCACCCCTCTGGGGGGATGGCCACATCACAATCCCTTCTCCTCCATTCTCTTCTCGGGATCTTGGGCACGCACACACATGTGCCCAGTGTGAGTTTAAGCCACTGGGTCTGGGACTCAAACCGTGGCCAACTACATGGGAGTCCAGCGACATAGCCAGTACACCAACTTCTGGTCTCTAGGCTGGTATGTTTTCTTAATCTAATTTTTTAAAAATTACCAACTCAACAAGCAAAATAGTTAAGTCATAACTTAACAGATTAAAGGACAAAAGAAGACCCTGCTGACCACATGAGGTCACAGAACAGGATCCATGAACAGGTGGTTTGGTGACCTCAACAGACGTATCCACTGACCCTATCTGTATGCCATATCTGAAGATCTAGTGCCATGCTGCCTCGGATGGACTTTCAGGAAAAGGGGAGAAACAAATCACACTGGAATCCATTCTCTGTGTAGGTACTAAGAATGCCTAATACAGGCTTGTTGGTTCTTGGGATGCTGCCACTATATTTGATATGGACACTCTGGTTTTGTGGAGTCACAGGAATTATAGTCATATGGTCAACCAAAGGCCACCAGAAAGCTGGCCCATTGGATGTGACCAGGAGCTGCTGCAAACGTACAATGGGGTGCCTGGCCATGAGCTGCAGTTCCTCAGCAGCACGGTAACCCTGGCTGATCTCACCTGCTCAGTGTCAGATCGATTCCGCTTTCCTTCAGCTGGGGCTCCATCGCTTCGGATCACTTTGGGCTTCCGTTTTTTGCTTGATTCTGATGACATGGTTGTTCCTCAAGTCAGGAGGAAATAGCAGAGAGCTGTTAAGAGGAGGGAGCTTTTGAGATTTTCCAGAGTTGGAATTGATTTTCCTGGAGTCAGGATACTGACATTTAACTAGCAGTTCTGAGCACTTACAGATTTAGGAACACAAGAAAAGTCACGTGACCCTCCAAAATCTGTGTTCAACTCTCAGAAATAGGAAATTGGCCTGTCCAAATGAACTCATCTGCTCTACCATCACCTCTTTTTTTTTTTTTTTTTTTAAGGCATCACTAGGATCAGTAAATGGTGTAATGATTACATCACTGGACTCTCACATAGTCAACTGCGGTTCAAGTCCTGGACCCGATGGCTTAAAACTCACGCTGGGTGCCTGTGCATGCATGTATGCATGCCCAAGATCCCAAGAGAATGGAGGAGAAGGGATTGTGCATGGCCATCCCCCTTGGGGGGTGATTTCTCACGTTCTGTCTCTTTGTCTCACATGTGCCCTATAGCAAATATCTCTCTAATTAATTAAAAAGGCATCACAATGTATCCCATTGACCTAGAAACTGTCTTCAACTTCTTCCTTCCCCACTCCTGTTCAGGTACTGTTCACTCTCCATAGAAACATCTTTTATTCAGGTGTTCACCCAGAGATCCCAGACACCATGCATCCTCCATCTCCACGCCCTTGTCAGAACTTCTGCACCCTTCCCCTAGACAACTGTAGCAGTCCAGGAGTCCAGTACTACTGTCTAAATTCTCACTCTTAAAAAAAGACCAACCTTAATAATGTTTCTTCTCTTTCCAGGCCTTTGTTAGCTCTTTAGAATGCCCTGAATGAAGCCTGCATTCCCTGGCCTGGCAAAGCATGAGTTTAAGTCAGCGGGTCCGGGACTCAAACCGTGTTCGACTACATGGGAGTCCAGCGACATAGCCATTAAGCTAACTGGTGGTCCTATACTTTTTTATGGCTATTGAGTCTTGTTTTTGTTTAGGTCTGTTTCATCAAATAAACCCCTACCTCAGGGTTTGCTGTGGGAATTAACACCAGAGGCACTCCACTGGGGAAGAGATGATCTGAGGATGGGGCTTTAGATGGTGCAAGGGTGAGCTTAAATAACACTGAACACCTACGTACAAAATTAATCCCTTTTCAATTCTTATTTGAAACTTCTGGGCTGGCTCCATGGCCTGGTGGTTAAGGTAGCTGGATCACATAAGACCAACCACATGGTTTGAGTCCCAGAACCAATGGCTCAAGAAGCATGCCAGGAACATGTGCATGTATGCCAAAAACTCTGAAAGAAGAAAGAAATGAAGAAGGGATTGTGGTATGACCATTATCCATTGGAGGGGGGGGGGAGGATTGCTTTCTACTCCCCGCCCCCCCTTTCTGGTGAGTTCATGAAAAGAAACCTCTAGGGGCAAGCAGGTGGTATAGTGGTTAAGGAGGTGGATTCCCACATTGTCGGCCACGGTTTGAGTCCCAGACCCAGTGGCTTCACAGCCACATCTGTGTGCATGCCCAAAACCCCAAGGAGAATGGAGGAGATGGGCTTGCAACATGGCCATTCCCAGGCGGTGATTTCTCACTTTTTCTCTCACATCTGTGTCTGTCTGTCTCTCTCTCTCTCCAGAAAGTTCACGTGCCCTATGGCAAAAACCTAAAAAGAAAAGAAACTTCTGGGGCCGGCAGGTGGCGTGGTTAAGTGCACTGGACTCCCACATGGCCAACTGAGGTTCGAGATCTGGACCTGGTGGCACAAGCACGCTCTCTCTCTCTCTTGCCCTCTCTGGTTAAGTTAAAATAAATAAATTTTTAAAATAAAGTTAGATAAAACAATTCTTTAAAAAAAAAAAACAACTTCTGACTGCTTCAAGATCTCAGTTCACTACTGTGTCTAACATTTATGAATACCAAGATTCCTTTGTAACAAAAGGATTGGATAGGGGGAAGACAGAGGCACAAGGATTAAACACAACCCTCTGTGAGAGAACTCCATATGGAAAAATCCAAGGTTCAAATCTGGAAACCTTCTTGAGTAAGCTGGACATCCACCTGCCCATGATGAACTGGCTGAATGCTGGGGGTAGGCTGAAGGGTGGCACCCTGTTGGGGATGCTTTCTTGTGGGGGAAAAAAAAGAATAAATAATCTTAAAAAAAAAATTCTGTCTCAGAGCCTGAGACAATGAGATCTAACCAGAATTTATTAACTATGATGTTTCTATCATATTACACATATTAATATTTTACCATTAATATGCTAATGCATAAAAATGGTTTGTTATTCATGGTAAAGAGATTTAAAGTTTTCTCTTAAAGTAAGTTTACGCCTAGAAATGACTGGATTAAAAACCGTAATAAACACTCGTATAGGTGGTAAATTACGTTGGCAGAATCCGCCAAAGCGGGACCGGCAAGGCTTAAGTGTGGGACATCCCGACTCCGGCAACAGCACAGAAGCGCGTAACGGAGTGCGGTCTCCCCACCACCCCGCGGTCTTCAGCTGCATCCCCGCCGGGAGGCTGCAGCGTGGGCCTGCGACGCCGCAGGAACTCTGTCCACACGAGCAACAGCTGAGGAACCGGCGCGGCGCCGGGCAAGCGACCCGGGCCTCGGGCCGAAGTATCCGCGGAGACGCCGGGTCGGACCCCAGCCCGGGAGCGCCCTCCGAGCTGCCCGCACCTCGGTCTCCCAGCGCCCAGCCCCGCCCCGCGACCATCCTCCTGCCCAAGTCCCCTCCTCACCGCACCGCTCCACGGACCTGTCCCGGCGTGGGAGCACTTCCGGCAGCGAGGAGACCGCGGTCCCGCGTACCATAGAGAAGCGGAAGGAGGGAAGGAGCGGCTGGCCGGAAGCGGGGCGAGGAGGCCGGAAGTAGAGACCTCGGCAGGGAGGGCTGAGTGCGAAGTGCGAGTACTTGCCCGAACAAGGCGGGCGGGTGCTAGCCACCCTACGTCCCATGCTACCTTCGACAGTCGGGGAAACTGAGGCTGTAAGAATGAAGACTCTGGGGGTTGGCGTGGTGGACTCCCAAATGGGTGACCGCGGTTCGAGCCCCGGACCTTTCGGCTTGCTTTCTCCCTTTCTTTCTCTGTTTCTCTGTACCTCTCGCCTCAAATTAAAAATAAATTAATAAATAGGAAACAGCAGTTCGCATAATGGCTATGTCGCTGGACTCCCATGTAGTTGACTGCGGTTCGAGTCCTGGACCCGGTGGCTTAAACTCACACATGGCGCGTGCGCGCCCAAGATCGCAAAAGAATGAAGGAAAAGGGATTGCGGGGCCGGCCATCCCTCTGGGGGGTGATTTCTCCCTTTCTGTCTCTCTGTCTCTCTCTGGTGAGCGCGTGTGCCCTATAGAAAAAAAAAACAACTCTCCAAAAATAAATAAATATAAATAAATGAATGAAGTTAAGTAAATTAATTCTTTAAAAAATGAAGATTCTATGTGCCTCACTCACTTTCCCCACCACATAAAGTTGTGCCCAGCAACTAGTGTGCGCTATCGAGAGCAAGGGACCACCAAGACTGGACCCTAGTGGATCTGACTGCATAACCTGGCTTTTGGTTTTTGTTTGCTGTAGGGCGTATGCATTTGCCAGGGAAAGATAGTGAGAGACCTAGAAAGTGAGAAATCAAATGGGAGAGGGGGACATGCAGCAATCCCTTCTCCGTTCTTATGAAGACTTTGGATACTCCCCGAGAGCAGTTGGCCATGTAGGATCCAGCGCCTTAGCCATGCCATCTACTGGCTACTTCTCCCACCCTTTTTTTTAAGAGAGATTTTTTTGCTGTTGGGCACGTGGACTTGCTAGAGAGACAGACAGAAAGCAAGAACTCACTCCCCCAGGGGGAGTGGCCACACCACAATCCCTTCTCCAGTCTCCTCTTAGGATTTTGGGCACCCACACACACCCGCCCTGCAGGAGTTTGAAGCCACTGGGTCCAGGACTTGATCCATGGTCAACAATGTGGGAGTCCAGCGATATAACCATTACATCATCTGGTCCCCCCCCCTTTTTTTTAAAACCTGGTTGTTTTTATTTCTTCCATGAGAGGGAGACACACAGATAGAAGCCACCCCCAGCAGGATCTTCAAGCTGTGATTCTAGCCCCATGCAGCCAGGAGCACAGGCGTGTGCACGCACCTGGCGTGGGACTCCACCCTGAGAGCTCGCTGCGTGACCTCGGCACAGCAGAGCCCTGCATTACCCCTGTGCCGCAGCTGACCAGAACTGGCATGTCCACCATAACGTGCCAAACCAGGGAAGGCAGCAAGCTAGGCGGAGGAGGACCCGTTTTACATTTTTATCACCAGTTTCCCCATTTCAGGCCCGATTTACCCAAGGTAGAGTCAAAACTCTTGGAATACTCGAAAGCTTCCCATATTTCCAGTCCCTCAAAATGAGCTTTACATACGGGGTCCGAGATTTTTCAGTGTAAAGTCTCTATCCAGAGCTAGAAACCACATGGGTCCTGAATCCCTGGTTATACAGCGCTTGTTCCTTCTCCTACCCTGGAATGAGAACAAAGATGCCCTCCCCGGGAGGAGCTCAGACACACGAACCCCTGGCGGGGTAGATCAGCCAGTTCCTCCCTGCTCCATCTGGCCTAAAGTCCTCGCAGATGAAAAAAAGACACTGAGGTTTATAGTAAATATTTAATTGGTTCCATCAACGTCAGCACGTTTTCCTGGTAAGGAGGCAGAATCAAGCTACCCAGGGGTTCATGAGGTATGGAGGTCTCTGAGGAGGTCCCCAGAATCACTGACCCCGCTGTACACACCGGGTGGCCCTGCAGAATGAGGGTTAGACTGACAGATTGTCAGGTCAGGGAGAAGAAATGCAGGGTGAGAGAAATACAGGCCCGAGCCTTACTCTTGCCTACAGGAAGGAGGGACGGCAGGAGAGACTCTATAGGACTCCAGCACATTCAAGTTCTCCACCAATATGGAGGGAGAAGAGGATGAGCCTCTCTCAATCTGCCTGGTGTTAGGGACCCCTTCCCAAGTGGTCTTCTTTATCTTCTGTTCTAGCTTCTCAATTCTGTATTCCAAATTCTGCAGTCAAAAACTAAGTTCTGAATCCTAAGTTCGGCCTTCTGGGTCCCTGTCCCATGTCTGTCTCCTGCCCTGAAATCCTTCCCACTCCCATCCCTTTTCCTGCCTCTCGGTAGAAGTCTGGATCTCCTCCTGACCTTCCTGACTTGAGAGGTTCTGGCAGTCCCAGGCTTTTCCCCAGCAGGAACGACTTGGCTCAGACTGTTCAGCAATGCGTGGCCCAATGGACTGGTGGCCTTGAGGAAATCTTGGAAGATTGAAAAGACCTAAAAGGTTGCTATTCATCATACCAGGAATTAGAAACTACTTCCAGCGGGTGGGAAGGAGTGGGGCGGGGGTGTAGGGGATGGGGAGGACGGCAGGAAGGCCTGGGCAGAGCTGAAAGTCCTCAGAACCCTGTACTTTTTCAGCGCCCCCTTTTCTGAGTTGAGCACTAGCCCTCAGAGTCCTCCCAGAGCCAAGAGAAAACCAAGACAGCAGGATCCGGAGCTCCTCTGTCCGGGGCTGCCCTGGAGGAAGGGGAAGGAGGTGGAGGCAGCTGCGGCATCACTGGAGAGGCGAGATCTTCAAGGGGATCATGATCCGAGACTCCATGTGTCGCACCAAGGGGACTACGGGGAGACAGGCAGAGGTCATGGAGGGGGCTCAGGCAAACCGGAAACCCCCAAACACACACACATGCACACGCATGCACACACACACACACATACACACACACACGCCTTTGAAAGGGGAGGGGCCCTGGATGCCGAGGCAGGAAAGTCCCGCTGCTCTCCTGGAAGAGCCCATGGAGAGTGCTGGGACTCCCAGATTATAGGACAAGGTGGGACTTAGGTGGTGAGCAGAGGGATATTTTACGAAATCTTAGTATTGGGGCCGGCAGGTAGTGGATAAAGGCACTGGACTCCCACATGGCCAACCACGGTTTGAGTCCTGGACCTGGCGGCTTGTGCTTTCTTGCTTTCCCTCTCTCTCTTGTCCTGTGTCAGGTCAAGTTAAAAAAAATAATAATGACAAATAGAATTAAATAAATATATAATTCTTTAAAAAAAAAAATCTTAGTGTTATCAGGCCCGGCCTCCCCAGCACAGCTACTCCACATCTCACAGGCAGGGGCTGCCTGGCTCTATTCTGCCCTAAAGCACTCCCTAGGACTGTGGTACCTATAAAACGTGCCACCAGGAGAGAAACCCTCTCATTGTCTTTTTTTTTTTTTTTTTTTTCACAAAGGACACATGCACACACACCAGGTTCTCTCAACAGGGTCTCACCATGCTGCAATCCCTACCCCAGCCTTCCAGCCAGCCAGCGTCACATGCACACCCTTGTGTGTGGCCAGCGTGTTTAGGTGGTGTCCAGACCCAAACGTGGCGTGTTCCTGTATGGCTCCAGTATCACACAGTGACCCCTACTGCCTACACTGCTGTGGCTAGGTCTAGCTCACTGTCGTAGAATGAGATCCCCACCACTGCAGGTAGTCAGGTGACCCGAGATCTGCTTACAGACGGGATCCTAGCCTCAGGGCCAAGGCCCTGCCGACCCCCAGAGGAAGCACCCAGAGGAGGCACTCACCTGTGTAGTAAACGTTTTCGTCCCAGCCCCTCTTCCTCCAGGCAGCATTTCGAGTCTCCTCCCGAGACTGCAAGTCTTTATAGGCTGTGGGAAAGGCACAGGTCAGGGTCCCCAGGGGAGAAGGGAGGAGGGCCCAGAGGTTAGCAGGTAGCGTAGAGATTAAGGCAGCTGGTTCCCACAGGCATGAGGGTCTAGTTCTGGACCCAGCCCAGGAGCCCCTCCCACTGACTCACACCCTGCCCTGCTGTCTCCTCCTTGTAGACCCCTTCCTCAGACTGCTGGCAAACATTATCTACTTTATCGGTTTTTTTTTGTTTGTTTTTTTTTTTTTGGAGAGAGTTTTTTTGGCATAGGGTGCATGTGCTTGCTGGAGAGACAGAGACAAAGAGACAGAAAGTGAGAAATCATCCCCCCCACCTCCGAGGGGGATGCCACATTCCAGTCTCTTCTCCTTCATTCTCCTCTCAGGATTTTGAGCAAACACGCACACATGCCCAGCATGAGTTTCAAGCAGCCAAGTCTGGGACTCAAACCGTGGTCAGCCATGTGTGAGTCCAGTACCTTAACCACTGTGTACCTGCTAGCCCCCTATCTATTTAGTTAAATAATAATTACTAATCTAATTTTTAATTAATTTTTTAGAGGTTTTTTGTTTTGTTTTTTTGTTTTGTTTTGTTTTTTGTTTTTTTGTTTTTTTTGCTATAGGGCATGTGTGCTCACCAGAGACACACAGAAAGACAGGGACAGAAAGTGAGAAATCACCCCCCAGGGGGAATGGCCATGCCACAATCCCTTCTCCTCTGTTCTCCCCTTGGAACCCTGACCATGCACATACATGAGCCCAGCATGAGTTTCAAGCCACTGAGTCTGGGACTTGAACCACGGTTGACTACATGGGAGTTCAGTGACATAACAACACCATCTGCTGGTCCCATTATTATTATTTAATTTATTATAGGGCACATGAACTCACCAGAGCGAGAAAGAGGGAAAATGAGAGAGTAAGCCACCAGATCCATGATTCGAACTGCGGTCATCCACGTGGGAGAGCAGTGCCTTAACCACCTGCTGACTGCCAACACTATCTACTTTGACAATCCATCCAATCAGAACATATGTTGACAACCCCCACACTTATTTAACTACTTTTTTTCTTTTACTTTTCTTAGGTTTCTGCCATAGGGTGCTCACCAAAGAGAGAGACAGAGAGGTAAAAAATCACCCCCAGGAGGATGGCCATACTGCAAACCCTTCTCCACTCTCCTCATGCATGCACATGCACCTGGCGTGATCCTCAACTTCTGGGTATGGGACTTGAACCATGGTTGAACATGTTGGAATCCAGCATCTTCACCATTCCATCTGCTGGTACTTTATTAATTTTTTAAAAATTTATTTATTTTATTTTTTTTAAAGCATTTATTGTTATTCTTCTTTTTTTTTTTTTTTTTGAGAGGTTTTCGCTATAGGGCACATGCGCTCGCCAGACAGACAGAGAGACATAGAGAAAGAAAGCGAGAAATCACCCCCCAGGGAGGATGGTCACGCTGCAATCCCTTCCCCTCCATTCTCCTCTCGGGATCTTGGGCACGCACGCACACGTGCCCAGCGTGAGTTTTAAGCCACCGGGTCCGGGACGCAAACCACGGTCGACTACGTGGGAGTCCAGCGAAATAACCATTATGCTAACTGCTGGTTCCCTTTACTGTTATTATTTTAATTCACCAGAGACAGACAGAGAGAGAGAGAAAGCAAGCCACCAGGTCTAGAACTTGAACTGTGGTTGACTATGTGGGAGTCCAGCAACATAACCATTACGTTATCTGCTGGTCTTCCCCTTATTATTATTATTTTTTAAAAAGAATTATTTAACTTTATTTATGTATTTGTTTATTTCAATTTGACGAGAGAGGAACAGAGCAAGAGCAAGAGAGAGAGAGAACGAGAAAGTGAGAGTATGCAGCCAAGTCTGGGACTCAAACCATGATCAGCCACGTGGGAGTCTAGCACCCTTAACCCCCATGCCACCTGCCGGCCCCCCCTTATGGTTATTATTTTTTTGGGGGGAGTTTTTTTTTTTTTTTTTGCTTTAGGGCACATACCATCACCAAAAAGAAC